TACAGCCCACTTCTTCGGATGCATCCGAAGAAGTGAGCTGTAGTCCACGAAAGCTTATGCTCTAATAAATTTGTTAGTCTCTAAGGTGCCACAAGTACTCCTGTTCTTCTTTTTGCAAATGAAAATAGGCAGCAGGTTAAAAACAAACAAAAGGAAGTATTTTTTCACACAACGCAGTCAATCTGTGGAACTCTTTGCCAGAGGATGTTGGTGAAGGCCAAGACTATAACATGGTTCAAAAAAGAACTAGATAAGTTCATGGAGGATAGGTCCATCAATGGCTATTAGCCAAGATGGACAGGGATGGTGTCCCTAGTCTCTGTTTGCCAGAAGGGCAACAGGAGATGGATCACTTGATGATTACCTGTTATGTTCATTCCCTCTGGGGCATCTGGCATTAGCCACTGTTGGAAGACAGGATCCTGGGTTAGATGGACCTTTGGTCTGACCAAAGTATTGCCGCTCTTATGTTCTTAATAGTCTAAAGAATAAGAACCCCATTTTTAGGGAAAATGAGTCCAAGTTTCAGAAGCAAAATATACACACAAGGACACAAACCTGGTGACTGTGTGGGCAAAACACAGTGCTTTTGAGCAAATGGGTATATGTACAGCCAAGTACCTATTTTGTGATCAAATATATATTCTCTACATACAACTACTCGCTTACTGTCTCGCCTCCCCAGACCATGCTGACACAACTTAGACAACTTTATTTTTAAATGTTGCCCTACAACTTTACTACCTGAGGGCTAGATCATTCAGCCCTTTAACACAAAAAAAGTTTCATTCACTTAAATGGGAGTTAAGGCTTAATCCTACATGTGCTCTATTAGCCTAACTCCATGCAAAGGGGCAGTAGGAGAAGTCGTATTCAAAACAGAGCGAAAGTCACACCATATAGTATATACCACAACTATTTTTCTATAGCAATTTAAAAGAATTAGTGCCCACCTGGAGAATATAGTATGTGACCAGGTGCTAGGGCATTTCCAGGTATCAGCAATATAATGTGGGGAGGGGAAATGGAAAGTGTAAGCCAATTGTGCTTCCCAACAGGAAGACATTCTGTAAGTGGCTGCTTGGGAGACAGAAGGAGGGGATGACTTGGAGCAGGGAACTTTACACATCCAGTTGCTATATGGCTGAGATAATGGTCCAGACAGAGGGGTTCTGGTTTTGCTTTCTGGAAATGTGTAAAATCAGTTTACTTTGATTGTCAACTCTAAGCTATACCTCTTCAGAAATCCTAAAGAATAAAAGCCTGAAGGCGGAACTCAGGCATCCTGAAAAACTGGTTTTTTTGTTTTGTTTTGGGTTTTTTGCACCTTATCCACCAGGTGACACTTTGCCTCCTTACAAGATATATAGTTTCTCTCTTACAGAGGAGATGAAGTTTGAATGAAGCAAGATGTCACACATTTCTTTGCAGCAGCTGTATCTGAAATTTCAAAAACCTTTGAAGAACCAGAAAGTGAAACTAGCACTTAAAGTGAAACTAACAGTTGAATAAAATACAAAAAATAAGCAAACAGCATAAACGGTAAAACACACATTGGATTGTTGGGGGGTGGGTTACTCCTGGTTAAATTGCCTGGATCATTTCAAGACTAGTCTTGCAGTTTATACTTTGTTTGAGGGTGGGTTCCCCACAACTTAATTCTATTTGGCTTATGATATGAGGTGCTGCCCTCCAACATATACCCTTGTGGCTCTTTGGGGCCATGCAGGTGCATTGCACTCAGGGCCCCTCGGGTTCTTGCAATTACCCTGACTAAGCTGGTTCAAGATATGTACCCCTTCGTTTTATTAAATCTTTCTACCAAGTGTAACTCACTTTGGTTAGTTGCCCTAGGTCATTCCCTCTGGGTCCATACAAGAGTCCTGGCCTGCTCTCTCAAAACTCCAGTCCCCAGCTCTCCTACTTGAAGCTGGGTTCCCCCTCAGCTTGCTTCCCCCCCCCCAGCTTGCTTCTTCCCCCCACCCCCACAATTAGTCCTTAGGATCAGAGGGTTCAGCAGGCCTGATAAATTTCTGCCCTGCTATAGGGGAGAAAGCAGCATTTATGCTGGTCCCCTTCTCTCAGCTCATCCCCAATTGGTTGGGTGAGAGAGGAGTCTTACGCTGCCTTCCTAGGGTGACCAGATGTGGGAAAGAAAAAATCGGCACACATGGGGGAGGAGGGGAATAAATAAAGTCAAGTCAGTCCCTGCCGCCAGAGTAAAAAAAAAAGGGATTATCGGGACGTCTGGTCACCCTACGCCTTCCCTGCAAGGCTTCTGGCCCATACAAATACAATGATGGGATTTCCTCCCAAGAACCACTTATTCCTAGCACCTCTTCCTCTCAGTATCTCCTAAATCCCTTGTATATATACTGGCCCTTTAGAAATCTTAAAATGCCACATAATGGGGTGGGTTGACCACCATTGCTGCCCTTAAGAGGCAAACTACCCCATCATTAAAGCACTCTGAGCTGTTCACATGGAGAAGAAGGCACTAAAGCATAATATATATTGATAGATATTATCTGGATATTATTTTGTTATTCTGGCCAAATTACTTTTTCACCTACAAATAATGCCATATTTTACCTAAACAGAGGCTTTTACAGTAGAACAAACTTGAAAAGGGATGCATATACACAAGATAATTTATTAGCCAGTCACTCCCTATATTCCCACTGCTGCTATTTCACAGATTTGTAATTAGATATGAATTTATTCTGTTAAAACCCTGCTTCTCCTGTTTTTAATCCTGCAATAAAAAGTTAAAATCTACCACTTTTTATGACATAAAAGAGCCCATTTTCCCAATAAGAGCACCTAAATGTGGAACTTTAGAGATGCTGGAATCAGTACCCTACAGGTACTGTAGATAGATGTTTAAGTGTCACTTGGAGCATCCAAATGCCGGATTTGAGTGTCTAACATAGAAGCCCAAATTTGAAAACTGGGCTATAGAGTCTGTTATCCTGAAAACACCTCTGAAGTTATGAAGTTGTGATAACTTTAAAGGAAATATTATCAAGTAGGAAGAGAATATGATCTGAGAATAAGGAAGAGGAAGTTACTCAGCTTGTGCTGTAACGATGGTTCTTCGAGATGTGTCCCCCTATGGTGTATGTGCACCCCTGCACCTCTAATCGGAGATTTTTGGTAGCAGTGTCCGTTGAGCCTATGCATGTACTCTCCCTCCCGGCATGGTTTGCCTTGAGGCTATCCAGCACTGCGCAGGTGAACCCCGCTCACTTCCTTCTCCACCGCAGAGCAGTACTGTGAAGTAGAGGGGACGACGACAGGTTGTGGAGCACCCATAGGGGGACACATCTTGAAGAACCATCGTTACTGCACAAGCTGAGTAACTTCCTCTTCTTCGAGTAGTGTCCCTATGGGTGCTCCACTGTAGGGGACTCCCGAGCAGTACCCATCACTGGAGGCTGGGACTTCAGAGTGGAGTCTGTTACTACAGAGAGTACTCTGGAGTCGAAGGTGGCGTCGGGGGCCAAATCTTCAGTGATCACATAATGTTCTGCGAAAGTATGGGCTGAGGCCCAAGTCGTTGCTCTACAGATTACTGAGATAGGAATAATCTTTAAGGAACGTGACCTAGGTAGAAATTGATCTCGTGGAGTGCTTATGGACTCTGGATGGAAGCAGGTTGTGCCCTTGATAACAGTGATTAATGCAACCAAAGACCCATTTGGATGGTCTTTGAGCCGATATCACAGAGCTTTTTGATCTTTCTGTGGATGAAAGGAAGAGTTTAGCGGATTTCCTAAAGTCCTTAGTCCTGTTCAAGTAGAATGCTCGTGTCCTAACATCTAGCATATGCAGAATTGTCTCCCTGTTGTCACAATGTGGTTTTAGGGAAAAAACAGGGAGATGGATCTGTTGATTCATATGGAAAGTGCAGAGAAAGTAGGGAGAAACTTGGGATATGGCCAGAGAGTTACTTTGTCTTTAAAAAAGGCCATGAATGATGGGGTTTGCCATCAGGGCTGCTATTTCTCCTAAGTGCCTAGCTGAGGTGATGGCAATTAGAAATGCTATCTTCATGGACAGATGTGAGAGAGAGCAAGTTGCCATGAACACAAAGGGAGATCTAGTCAGAGCCCTGAGAACTAGGTTAAGGTCCCAGGCTGGAGCGGATGGTGTCACATGCAGGAAAAGATTTCCAATGCCCTTAAGGAATCTACGAGTCAGTGGGTGAGCCAACACTGAGAAGCTGTCTACCTGGCAGTGGAAAGCAGTTTTCACAGCGAGATGTACCTTAAGGGAGCTGAGTGTCAGTTTTGATCTCTTGAGAAACTTGGAATTGTTTCCATTTTGTAGGTAAGTATGTCGAGTGGTCAACTTTTGGCTCTGTAGCAACATGTCTTTCAGTTTGTCAGAGCATTCTACCTCTAAGCCTAGGAACTAGAAGGAGCCAAGTCTGGAGGCAGAGGACCCACAGTTTGGGGTGAAGGATCAGCCCATTGTTTTGAGAGAGCAGGTGAGGAATGGGCCAAAGAGGAACAGGAGGGCATTTTGCCATCTGTGTCAGGTAAGGGAGCCAGACTTGTCATGGCCAGGAGGAGCAATCAGAATAACTCTCACTTTGTGTCATTGAATTTTCAACAGAATCTTGGATAGAAGAGGAAACTGGGAAAAGGCATACAAGAGGGCCCCATCCCATGGGAGGATGAGTGCAACTCACAGTGAATGTTTCCCCAAGCTGGCCCTGGAGCGGTAATGAGGATGTATCTTGTTCCAGTAAGAAGCAAAGAGATCCGTAATCAGGGTTCCCCAAAGGACGAATATATCTTGAAGCACCTCTGAGTTCAGTACCCACTCATAGTCATGACAAAAATTCCAACGGAGACTGTTGGCTGTCACATTCTGTATCCCTGGCAGATAGACAGCTGAGATGAGCATATTGTGATGGATGCACCAATTCCAAAGTTTGAGTGCTTCCTTGCAGAGGGAGGGAGATCTGGCATCCCCTTGGCGATTTATGTAAAACATACAGGTCATATTAAGTCCATCATGACTTTTGTGTGGGTGTTCTTGATGAAAGGCAGAAAGTGTGCACAGGCATTCCTGAGAGCCCTTAGCTCCAAAAGAGTGATATGGAAGGTCACTTCTGTGGAAGGCCATTTGCCCTGAACCTTGTGGTTGTGCGGGTGAGCTCCCCAGCCTACTAGGGAGGCATCTGTCCCAGCATGGGGAGTCTGCATAGCGGGAGGAATGCTCTCGCTTGTACTGCATCAAGCTTGGTGCTGATAAACTCCAGTTGCTGTACTGGGGTTAGTGTGCCACTACAATGAAGAGAACCTGGGAGAATACCGTGGGTGGAGCAGTCTGTACTGATAATGGTCCTGCCCCAAAGGTAAACCATAGGAAATCTCCTGTACAATGATTATATTGAGATATGGAAGTGGACATCTTGTAGGTTGAGGGCTGGAAATCAAACTCCTTGCTCTAGAGCTGGAATAATGGCTGCTAGTGTGACCATCCTGAACGTCTGCACCATAATTGTTTAATACCCTTAGATCTAGAATGGGCCTCCAACCTCCCTTTGCCTTGGGGATCAGGAAATAATGAGTAAAACCCCTTGCTCCTGAGTTGCACCAGGACTGGTTCAATGGCCTGTAGGCATAACAAATTATATATTTCCTGATGAAATAGGTTCTCATGAGAAGAGTCCCTGAAGGGGGATGGGGAAGGACGGTTGGAATGGGGGGAAGGACATTAATTGAATGGCATAACTCTTCAAAATTATCTCCAGGACCTATCTGTCAGAGGTGATATCCTCCCAGGTGACTTCTGAAGGGGAGCGACAGGTGTGTAGGTCGCAGCTGATGTTGCAAGATATAATTGTTCATGCCCTGGACCAACCCATCAAAAATGCTCAGAAGAGGTGTTTTGAGAGGTTGCAGACTGGGGTGCGGACTGCTTCCATTTTTGAGCCACAGGCCTCTTACACCATGGCTCATAACAGCACTGAGACGGTGGGTATTGAGGAGATTGTGACCTATGCTGTGACTAAGAGGTATATCTTCTCTTCTGTCCCGCAGTGTAGATTCCTAGGGAGTGTAATGTGGTCTGGGAATCCTTCAGGATGTCAAGAGAAGAATCTGTCTTCTCCAGGAAGAGTTTGGGCCCTTCAAACTGGAAGTCTTCTGCAGCTCTTTGGGCAATCTAGAAAGGTGAAGCCAAGAAGCCCGTCTCAGTACCACTGTCATGGAGACCGCGCGGGCAGCTGTCTCAGCTATATCCAGTGCTGTCTCTAGCACCAGTCTGGCTATTAACTGACCCTCTCTAAGAATGGTCTGAAACTGTTCCTTTTGTGTCTCCAGTAAATGTTCTAGAAACGCACTGAGTTTCCCATAATTAATAAAATTGTATTTGGCCATGACAGTTTGGTAATTCGTAACTCTAAATGGTGATGTCACTGACAAATACGCCATCTTGTCAAGCCCGATTGTATGTGGTTGACTTGGCATTATGTTGCTTGCTTTCTGCATTAACCACATCCACTATGATGGAGATGGGTTGCGGATGTTGAAACAAAGTCTGCCTCTTTGGGAGTGTCAAATATAAAGGGAAGGGTAACAACCTTTATGTATGCAGTAACATAAAATCCCTCCTGGCCAGAGGTACAGAATCACTTACCTGTAAGGGGTTAATCAGTTCAATTAACCTCGCTGGCATCTGACCAGAAGGACCAATGGGGAAAGAAGATACTTTCAAATCTGGGGGTGGGGGAGGGGAAAGGTTTTGTTGGTATTCTTTTTGTTGGTTCCCTCTCGGGACAAAGAGAGAGACCAAGCAGGTAAACCAGCTCCTAACAAGATCCTGAAATGATACAACTAAAATTACAGAAATTGTAAGTAATAGCAAGGAAATGCAGCAGTGATTCTCAAACTTTTGTACTGGTGACCCCTTTCACATAGCAAGCCTCTGAGTGTGATCCCTTATAAATTAAAAACTCTTTAAAATACTTAACACCATTATAAATGTTGGAGGCAAAGCAGGGTTTGGGGTGGAGGCTGACAGCTCGTGACCCCCCATGTAATAACCTCACGACCCCCGAGGTGTCCCAACCCCCAGTTTGAGAACCCCTGTGTTAGATTATCTTTTGTTTTAGCTTGTGAATTTTCCCTATGCTAAGAGGTAATTTTATTCCTGTTTTGTAACTGGGAAGCAGAGTCACAGGGGAATCCTCTGTGTTTTAAATCTTTTTATTTACCCTGTAAAGTTATCTTCCATCCTGATTTTGCAGGTGGGATTCTTTTACTTTTTTTTTAATAAAATTCTTCTTTTAAGAACCTGATTGATTCCCAGTGTCCTAAAAACCAGGGATTTGGTCTGTGCTCACTTTGTTAACCTATTGGTTGGTATATTATTCTCAAGCCCCCCCCCCAGGAAAGGGGGTGAAGGGACTTGGAGGGATAGGGCTCCAAGTGGCCCCTCCCTGAATGTTTGTTTAAATCACTTGGTGGTGGCAGCAAAATCATCCAAGGACAAGGAAAGGAATTTGTGCCTTGGGGAAGTTTTTAACCTAAGCTGGTGAAATATAAGCTTAAGGGGTCTTTCATGCTGGTCCCCACATCTGTAGCCCCAGAGTTCAAAGTGGGGAGGGAACCCTGACAGGGAGGGATGTAGTATTTTTTTTAATTATTTTTATTTTTGGCTCTGTTGTTGCTTGGTGCGATGGAGGCTGGTGTCTGCCAGATGACTTTGGTAGGATCTGGAATCACCTCATTAATTGGGAGGGCAATTCTGGATGAAGAGGTGTGCAGAATATCCACCAACTTGTGATGTGTATCTACCACCTCCTGTAGGGGAATCTGCAGCTCATCTGCCGCCCTTTTGGTAAGATCCAGAATGTTCTTAAAATCATCTCCTAGTCATGGGGGATGAGGCAGTACAGTCTCATCTGGTGGAGATGAGAAGAAGGAGGAGATGTGCTGGAGGGGTAGCTTCCCCTTCAAGTCCTTCTTCCTGTTCTGAAAAAGCTTCCTCCTCCTCCCCCGGCTCAGCAGCTCTGGACAGCCAAGCTGTAGGAGACCATCAGGTGGACTCTCTCTGAGACACTGGATGGCCACAACATGCGTGTACATTGCCCAAGGATTGCAATACGGACATGCTGGGGGAGCGTGGGCATGGGTAGTGGGCTTACCCCAGGGGGCCCATACCACAATTTGTGGGTTGATTCAGTGGAATTGGGGAGGACCCTTGTATTGTGATGGTGGGCCACGATGAGAGGCCAGGAAAATGACTTCCTCCTGGCCACTGTCAGACTCGTCACTGGGTAAAGGCGGTGCTGACTGGGGTATTGGCGGTACGCGGCCAGTTGCCAAGAGCGATTCCAGGTGCCGGGATGTGCTTGGTATCAGGGCTCTGATACCGAGTAATGGGGATTGTGGTTCTTCCCCAACCATGAGGTCTCCAGGGTACCAGAGACCATGAAGTACCCTGGGCTCACTCGGAACCAAGGAGAAGTCCATGGTACTGTATCAGTACCGATGGTAGAGAAGGTGCAGAGCACACCCTAGCTGAGAGTTTTGTTGTGCCCAGTTCAGAAAGTTTTGTCAGTGCCTCTCTTTTAGAGATGGTACAGTAATTGTTTTTCCCTGGGTACCAGGGCCACAGGTCTCCAGGGCATAGGCACCAACTTCCCCTCTGCCCGGTGGGTGCTCGACCCCTCCCTGCCCCTAGCCTCCCCCCTGCCCAGTCTCTTCCCACCCCTGCAGTGGCCTCGCCCCGCCCACATTCCATCCCTTTTCTAAAGTCCCCGCCTCTGCCATGCCTCTTCATTGCCTCCTCCCCTGAGCGTGCTACATCCCCGCTCCTCCTCCTCCCTCCCAGAAACTCCTAAGCACCACCAAACATCTGTTAGGTGGCGTGCAGGAAGCACTGGGAAGGAGGTGGAGGAGTGGGGACGCAGCACGCTCGAGAGGGGAGAGAAGGCGAGGAGGGGTGGGGGGAGATTGACTGCCAGTAATTTTTGCCTGTGGGTGCTCCAGCCCTGGAGCATCCACGGAGTCAGCGCCTATGCTCCAGGGTACCAGAGATCATGTGGTACCCTGGGCTCACTTGGTACCACAGAGAAGTGTCTGTGGTACGTTGTCAGTACCGATGGTTGGGAAGGTGCAGAGAACTCCCTAGATGGGAGTTTTGTCATACACACAGTACCAAAGGGTTTCTCTGTGACGCTCTTTTAGAGACGGTACAGTAATTGTCTGTCTCCTTAGGGGCGGCACCATTGCCTCAGAGCCTGACTGCTGGAGGCCCTGGCTTCTCCAGGCAGTGTGGTGCAGAGCAGAGCTCACAGCGGTGGCCCCCTTCTGGGTACCCTGCTTCTGGTGCCGTCAGTACCCAGGTGGCCACACCGGGGAGCCTCTCTGGCTGACCAACTACTTGAAGCCCTTTTTATGGGTCTTTACCGGGGGAGTCTGCTGGTTTTTTCTACGACTCTACCCTCTGTGAAGTTAAAGGCTCCAGGGATGATCCAGGGTCACCGGAGTCCCCTGGAGACTAAAGGACCTTCTCCATAAGGGAGAGTTTTAACTTCAGCTCTCAGTTCCTGCAAGACTGCTGCCGTTTGAGCTGTGGCAGGTGAAGCACTTTTGTGAGACTCCCACAGGCACAGTGAGCGTGTCTGGCCCTTACAGGAATCAACTCCTTGCAGGAGAGGCACCACTAGGCTCAGGGAAAGCCAGGCCTGCCCCTGGGCAGGGGTCTAGCATCCTCTCGCAGTGAGGAAGGCAGGGGAAATAAATAACTAAATAAAAATTTTAAAAAGGACTTTTTCCTTTTTTTTTTTTTTAAACAAAAAAAAAAAAAAAAAAAAAAAAAAAACCCTAAAGAATCTACTAAATGCCCGGGAGGTGCCCCCATGTGGGCATCACTAGGCCTAAATGAACCAAAGTTCCTCCATGTTTAACTCTAAGCAACCTCAAAAGCCAGATGCATAGAATGTGTAACAACCAGTTATCAGTTACAACTCCCCCCCCATACTGGTACCAAGCGGTAATAATGAGGCCTGTATGGCTGGAGGGGAGATAATAAATCAAAGGGAAACAGGACCAGATAACAGTTTAGAGGAGTGTTACTAACAAGTTAGACTTATAGCCACCAGAATGATTTAACTGCTTGAATGTATAAACATGGCTTTTGTAGAAGAAGGGAGAGGGAATGGGGGAAGGGAGGGGGAGAGAAGGGATGGGGGAAGAAGGAGGAATTTAGCTGTGAAATGTAATTGCTTGCTACTTGCTTAAGGTAAACTACTGTAGGAGACAGGGAGGGTGAAGGGAGGGGGTGGGTGAAGAGAAAAGTCTAGCTGCTGAATGTATAAAAAGGGAAAAAACTGTTTGTCTCAGTGTGCTTGATCTGAGACGGGCCTGTCTCCTTGCACCGCTTTGAGATCTCAAATAAACTTTTTTTGCTTCTCCACCCTAGTGTGTTCACTGGCGCGAAGCACACCGGGCAACGAACCCCGCTGTTGCTGTCCTCGGGCCCTCTGTGCCGGCAACACCCAGACAGGGAGGGAAACTAAAGATCTTTTTCTTTGTCTTTTTTTCTTAATCCCAAAGGAGTTAAAAAACAAAACAAAAACCAACAAAACAAAAAAAACCACTACTATTAAGGAGAACAAAAGAAACAAAAACAACTTCTACTTATGCTAATGACACAGATAAGGAAGGGAGGACTGCTCCCTCTCTTGGAGGCCAAAGGCAGTTGGGAAGGAAGTGAGTGGGGTTTGCCTGCACAGTGCTAGAGGCAGACCCCAAAGGAGGGAGAGCACATGCGCAGGGAGGGAGAGAACATGCACAGGCTCAACGGACACTGCTACCAAAAATCTCCGATTAGAAGCGCAGCGGCGCACATACACCTACAATGGAGCATCCATAGGGACACTACTTGAAAAAGAAGCTTCATTCAGTGCAAATATCTCCAGTGTGTCAGGAAAGATAAAAAGATCGATGTCTTAAATCAAATACACATGCAAGTTCTCCCCAACTTGAAAGCCAATCTCACTTAAAAGCAGGTTCATCTGCTATTTAGAGTATCCAGCCAGCTCCTAGTTAGTACTCTACCACATATTTTTGTCAACTGAATCAGAACATCTAAAGGCTAGTCCACTTCTTCAAAAAAAATATGCTGGATGAAATTCTAGCCACAGTGAAGCCAATGGGAATTTTGCCATTGACTTCAAAGAGACCAGGATTTTACCTGCTGGGATGAAGATAAAGGTTAAATTACATCACAGTCTAGTGCAGTGGCAGGAGGAACATGAGAACACAAACTGTCCAATCAGGGGCCACATAGGTAACTTGCCAGAAGCTTATGGACCAAACCTAATTTTCATAAAAACGAGTAGACTACAATAGCTCTCCTCTGTGATACATAAGTGCAGCCAACACAGCAACAGTGCTGAAATGCAATCCATAGCTTTTACAGGCCCCGCCATTCAGTGCTCAGCCTTGAGCAGAGAGGCTTGGTCACTTGATTCAAGATCGAGATTTAGATCAGAATCTGCAATATTTATTGGTCACACATCTACATTAAAGAGACAGGCTGCTAGCCTGCTGTAGACTATTTTGGCTACCTCTGGACTAAATCTATCATTGACCTCTGCC